TTAAAGTTTTGCAAAGAGATTATGAAAAACACAGGAAGGTGAGGGCCCACATGATTAACTCTAAAACTGTAGCTGAGACAAAGCCAGATGCCCCGGGCACATCTGTTAATTCCAGCCTCTAGGGTTGCAGTTCCAGGGCAGCCTAGGCAACCGAAAAACTGTTAAAAAGAGAGAAGGGCCGGGGATTTAGCTCAGTGGTTTCGCCGCCTGCTGCGCAAGCGCAAGGACCCGAGTTCGATCCCCGGTACCAAAAAAAAAAAACCATAATAAAAAGAGAGAAAAAGCCAGGCTTGGTGGCACATGCCTGTAATCGCAGCACTCAGGAAGCAGAGGCAGGAGGATTGCTGTGAGTTTGAGGCCAGCCTGAACTACACAGCCAGCCCTTGTCTCAAAAAACCAACCCCTCCATAACAACAACAACAACAAAAACTTTAAAAGTAATCAGTGCTTCCAGCTAGGAGTGATGGTGCACACCTATAATCCTTACACCAAAAAGGCTGATGCAGAAGGGTCACAAGTTTGAGGCCAGGCTGAACTACATAGTGAGAGCCTGTTTAAAAAAAAAAGCAAAACTAATCAGTACTTCTAAATACTCGTATGAAATTCATAGAGTCTTAAATTTTAATATATTATGAATCCCTGTCTTTGGTATTGTAATTTAAAAGCAGTTCAATATTTTCAGTGTACTTACTAATTACAAACAAAAAAATTAAAATAAAAGCTTTATAAAAGTAAACGTACAGCCAGGGATTTAGCTCAGTGGTTTTGCCACCTGCTGTGCAAGTGCAAGGACCCGAGTTTGATCCCCGGTACCAAAAACATAAAAAACAAACGTACAGTAGACCCTTGACTTACGAACTCAATTTGCTCTTGAGGGCTGGTTGTAACTCAAGTTGGTCAACTGAAGGCTCAGGTTCCTCTACACAGCCTTCACAGTCTCTGAAGGTGTATTTTTTTTTTTTTTTTGGTACGGGGGATCAAACTCAGGTCCTTGTGGTCACAGTCTCTCTCTGTACACAGGCAGATCCGTGTCCTCAGAGAGACCCTGGCCCAGGATTTCTCAGTTAACCCCACACAGGAGAGGATGCTGTCATGTTCCTTCCAGAACTCTTTAAGGGTTAAATCTGTGTTTGAGACCATCTGGAAGCACAAGACGGTGGCATTCGGGTTGTAACTCAAGACTTTCATTGCAAGTTAAAACTAATATTCTGATTGTAATCTAAGTTGTTCATATGTCAGGCCAGTCATAACTCAAGGGTCCACTATAAATGTCATGCCCCTCATTATTTCATTATGATTCCTGGATTTGAACTTCAGGGGAATTGATAGCTTTTCTTAGAGGTGTTCTGAAGTCCACTGTACTCCTCTTACCTTCCTCTTTTCTATTCATATATTCATTTTCTTTGATAGCAAAATGATATTCAGATCCACCATAAAAATATTCATTTATTTTCATTATAAATCCATCTTTTGAGCCAGTTTTAATACAGTCTCAAAAGAATTTTAAAGGTGTGTGTGTGTGTGTTTTGGTGATGGAGTTTCTTAAAATTTTGTTTGGATCCCAGATTTGAGTTTTCTTCCCTTTCTTTTCTGTTTTTCTTTTCTTGATTGGGGGCTAGGGAAAGAATGATTGATAAACAATTATATCTGCTTCTCTGAGCTGAGGTTAAACCATAGTTTCAATTTTTTTAGACGGAGTCCTGCTATAGGGTTCAAGCCAGCCTTGAACCCACTATATAGCCCAGGCTGGCTTTGAACTTGCAGGGATCCTTCTGCCTCAGTCTCCGAGTGCTGGGATTACAGGCGTGTGCCACCACCAAATTAAAAAATAAAATTGCTAATTTTCCATTTTGACTTTGTGTTTCTTCTTGTATGGTGAATACATGGCTGTTTTGGAAATCAGTGAAGCACAAACCTGCTATCCTTCTGCCTCGGCCTTCCAAGTGCTAGAATTACAGGTGTGCGCCACTATGCTCCATATGTGTGTGATGGATTAACTAATGGTCAACTGGTAACACTCAGCTGAACCGAATCAGTGTGGTTGGGCATTGAAGAACCACCTGAGGATTGTTGCCAACAGCATAAAAGAGAACTGGAGGGGAAGATTGTTGGCTGTTGGTTTTCTAGAAGCTTGCTGTGGAGGGTTTTCCTGATGTTAACTTGGCTGTTCTTGGAGGAGGAGGAGCTTGAGGCCTCGCTGTCGCTGGGAATGGCTGCTGTTCTCATTAAGGGAGCCCTGATCCTCACCTTGAACATCACCTGCTGCGTCCAGTACAGCTCCCTCAGCCTGGTGGCACAAATCCTTCAACCCACCAGCGCAGGTTTTCTGGCTTCCACCACTGGTCTTTGGGCCTTCCTGGGGCAGATCCTTGATATGAACAAGCATGAGACACTGCCATGGGCTCTAGCGCACTGTCTGGACTCACGGAGGACATTGCCTTGGACTCTAGTCCTTCAGCTAGACTTATGTGGGAGATTGCTATGGGATCCAGACCATTGGCTGGATTCTTTGGCTCTTTATTTTATTTTTTATTTTATTTCTTTGGATTCTTTGGCTCTTACGTGCTGCTAGATCTCTTGCACTTCTCTGCAATTGAATTTTTGGGTGACTGTTATAAAATAATCCTATAAATTATGTGTCCTATATTAAATCTATTTCCCTTACAAAACCCAGACTACAACTATATATATAAACAAAACAAAACAACTATCTATATATAGATAGATAGTTGTTTCGTTTTAGTTTTTGAGACAGGGTCTCGCTGTCATTCAAGCAGGCCTTGAACTTTTGGAAACCCTCCTGCCTTGGCCTCCCTGGTGCTGGGGTCACACGCGTGTGGCACCACAACTGCTTTCACTCAGGTGTTCTTAAATGATGGTTTAATTTCCCCATCAATGAAACCAACATGGTATTCAGGGTAAGTTGTACTTGTTTGAAAGTGGTTTTCATGCTGATAATTTATTTTTATTTTATTTTTTGGAACTGGGGATGGAACTTGGGACCTTGTGCTTGTGAGGCAGGTGGTGGAACCACTGAGCTAAATCCTTGGCATAATGCTGATAATTTATAATGGGTTAATTAAATAATTTTTCTGCCTTCAAGTCCTCCACCAAAAACTAGGTATAATCAACTTTAGTATGTACAAAGAAAAGGTTAAAAAAAATTCAAATAGTGGAAGGCTAAGGCAGGAGAACCCCAAGTTCAAGCCCAGTCTGGACAGCTTAGGGTCTTAGCAAGATCCTGTCTCAAAATGAAAAATGAAAAAAAGCCCAGGGATATATCTCAGTGCAGAGGCCCTAGGTCATCCCCACTACCAGAAAAACAAAAGTCAAACAGTAAGAAATTACTAACATGTCTACACAAATTTGAGCACAAAATGGAAGAACTGTATGCCATATTCATCCCTGTTTTCCTTCCAGAGTGGCTCACACACACGAATGTAGCAAGATGGATCAACGCTGAACTGATGATGCTCTCACCTCTATCATCTAACAGTAGCTGATGCCTGCAAGTAAGTAAACTCCTTTACAGCGATTTCCAACAGATGGCAGAAATTCTTTAGTTGTATTGAAATGTACCAAATACTGCTTTTAACAATCCCCGGCATGGAGTTTGGAAATGGTTTTCTATACAAAGCCTTTGTTATAGTTTTTGAGTGTGTGTGTGTTTGTAACAGGATTTGACCTGTAACTATTATTGAGAATTTTCTTAGAAGAGTTCAAAGCATTTTACAGGGATCATTGCATTTATCCTTCAAGAGTAAGGCAAAGGCATTATCTCCACTACAGACTCAACACTAAAAGGCCAAGATAGGTGGGATTTTTTGTTGTTGTTTTGCTAAGATCAAAAAGTAATTCTGGGCAAAGCCAGATTCTAGTCTGACCTTGTTACGTGATGCTTTCTTCCTTAGTTATGGGTTGAAACATTTTCAGAATTGATTTCTCATTCATTCCTACTCCCTAAAAATAAGTGTTAAGATATAAATACAGAAGAAAATACCTCAATCCTCCCTATATGGATTTGGGAGACAGGATACAAAAAGGCATCTTCTTGCCTCCAACTCGTACTGCGTAGCCCAGAGCTAACAGGAAAAGGTGAGCCGCAAATACAGGTGGCATGTACTATATTAAATTTCCTACTAGTTATATTAAAATACATTGTATTTAACCCAATGAAGCTAAAAACGTAACTTTATAATAAAGTCAGTGAGATATTTCACATTGTTTTTCTTCAGCCTTCAAAATCTGGAATTGGTCCATGCCTAGGGCCTTCTTCAGTCTGGCCACATTTCAAAGGCTCAGGTCCACATGGGTCAGGGCCGAGCTGCGGGCCAGCACGGCTCTAGACCTCAGCAGCCCTCCCTTCAGCCTGGGGCCATGGGGAGGCCATGGTGATAAGCACAGGGATCCTGTGGGACTTGGGAGAGCCACCTTGTACGTAAGGCGCGCTGCCGTTTCCCCACCCAGGACTGCTCTGGGGTTATAGGCTCGGACCGTCGCCCATGGCCACACAAGCGCAGCGCCGGACGAGGCTCGGGTCTTGGCGCGAGGCGGGCAGGGGTGCCGTCCGCTTCCGGGGTCGACCCGGTTCCGGCCCCGCGTGCGCCGAGCCGAGGGGCGACGACCGGGAGGAGCGGGCTCCGCTCGACGCTCCGCACCCGCACCGCTCTGGCGGCCTCACCCACGCCCGGGAACGGCGGCGCGCGCTTCCGCCGGCGCCGGCCCTGCCGCGTCCCATGTGACCAGGCGAGGGGCGGTGTCGCCTCCACCGCGGCAGCGGCTCCTCGGTCGGGCTCCGCGTCGTCATGGGCAGCCGAGGCCGCTCGGGGCCGTCTGGGAGCGGCGAGGGCGGCGAGGGCCAGGGGGAGGGCCAGCCCGGGAAGACGAAGGGGAAGCGGGGGAAGCGGGGCCGGGCGCGCGGCGGGAGGGGGCGCGGCCCGGAAGGGGCGGGGGCGAGGCCGGGGGGCGCGGAGGACGAGGCCGAGCCCGCCGAGCGGGGCGCTGGGGTGGCGGGGGTCGCCGCGGTCGCCGGCTCCCAGGCGGCCATGACGGCGGCCGAGGAGGCCGAGGGGCCCGCGCTCTGGCGCCTGCCCGAGGAGCTGCTGCTGCTCGTCTGCTCCTACCTGGACGCGCGCGCGCTCGGCCGCTTGGCCCAGGTGTGCCGTTCGCTGTGGCGCGTCACCAGCTGCGACCCGCCGTGGCGCCGCATCGCGCGGGCCTCGCTCAACGCCGGCTTCTCGCGGCTCGGCAAGGACCTGTAAGCGCCCGCCCGAAGGGCCCCGAGTACCCTAGTCGCCAGCCAGCCAGCCTCCCCCCACGCTGGAATAAAGTGCGGCTTCGCAACTCTGAGGCCCAGGCCTCAGATAAAATCAGACGTGGGGAGCTAGGCCCCATCCCAGGAGCCGGCGTTCGGCCGCGTCAGCGTAGCGCAGGGTTTGGTGCGGGCTGGAGCAGAGGCCAGGTAGCACGGCCTCGGGCCTCGGCCCGGTCTTCCTTCCTTTCGGCCTGTTTGCGGTAGGAGCTGAGACCTGCCAAAGAGAACTTTCCAGAACCACGCGCTGTCCCAGCGAAGTGGGGTGTATGGAGTTGGGGGAGTAAAAGCTTTCAGATTTCCACCCCACCCAACCGGAATACAGTACAATAACGTGAAAGTCATTTTTAAAGCAAAAGTCCATAATACCATCAACTCTAGGAAACTATTTCCATTTTTCGAAATTTTCAGTTGCATTCCCCCATAGTTGCTGTCTTACTGTTCCTAACAATAGGCGCGTAGTGAATAATTTAATGCCTTTCCGAGTAACAGCTTCATTCAGCCAGTAGTCACGGCATGCCATACATTTCTTTTTGAATTAGTCCTTAGGATAAAAATCTCAAGATAGGTGTTATTGGATCAAACGTTATGATTTGCAGTGGTGTTGGATCAAGTTACAGTATACCAGCAAAGAATGATTGAAGCAATCTCGTGAGAATTTTTTAAATATCTTTGCTACTTTAGCAGATAATATGATAGGTTAGAGTTGTGTTAATTTCCACCACTTTTACTACTGACCAGGATAAATATTTTCTCATGTGTTTGTTTCACCTGTGAGAGTCTCTCTTCCTACTCTTTCCCCATTTATTATTAGGGTCTGGATGTTTTTCTTACACATTTGGAATCTTTGTGGATTGTAGATGTTAGTCTGTCATCTTTGGTGCTAATATTTTTCTAGTTATTTTTATTTTACTCTTTTTTGTTTGTTTTTTGGGTTTTTTTTTTTTTTTTGGTATCAGGGATCGAACTTGGGTCCTTGGCGCTTTTGAAGCAGGCGGCGGAACCACTGAGCTAAATCCTCGGCTTCTTATTTTACTCTTTTTATCCCATAGAAGTTGTGTGTGTGTTTTTTTCTCAGTACTAGAAATCGAACTCAGGACTTTGGGCTTGCCAGGCAGGTGCGGCACCACTGAGCTACATCCCTGGCCCCTCATAGAAGTTTTATACGTTATTAGAATTTTCTAGTCTTGTTTTTTTTTTCTTTTTTCCCCAAAGCTGAAAAATTGATAATTCTGTACAGACTGATGAATCTCTTAGATTTCCTACTGTTTTTCTTACAACTTTATTTTTATTTTTATTTTTAAAATTTTTTATAAATTTTACCCCAGTCCCTACCTCAAGCCCCCTCCTCCTATGTACAAAATCTTTGTTTCCATTTTTTTCCTTCTATTTTCACTGTTTTTCTTGTTGCTTCCTTCGCACAACTTGGTTTTTAAAAATAGTTAATACTCTCCTTAATACCCTTTTTTGTTAGGTGCAAAAAGTGAATTCAGTTTACTGTTTTTCACCCAATTGTTGCTTAGTTATTATCGTATCTTCTGTTAAGTAGATCTTTTCATTCCTCTTGACTTGGGAAACTGACTTTGCCATTTATTAAGTTTATGTATATATTATTCATATATACAAACATAAGTATGTTATGTATGAATATTTGATCTATGTCTACGTTGTCCATTTTCTATTGATGTATTTTCTATTTCCATACCATTAAAAATTGTTGCTTTTTGATAGACTAATATGTATTAGGCTTAGATTACTGTATACTTGTTGGATTTGTGTGTGTCCATTTCTACTCAGTTTCCCACAAAAAGTCTACCTTTTCAGAGATTTTTGTGGTTTTCAATATAAAATTTTTACGTATCTGTTGCTGAATATATTCTTGTGGTTTCTAATCTTGTGCATTTTGTTTTTATTACAAATGCAATCTCTGTTTTCCAGCAGAGTAAGATTGATGTACAGGATTAGTGTAATCTTTTGTAAATTTTGAATCTGATTCTTTTGCTTAACTCTTTCTAGTCTAGTGTGATTTTGTTGTTGATAATGATTCCTTAGGATTTGGAGGGGGGTGTGCAATCTTGTTACCTGCAAAAAGAGTCTTTTTTCCTCTTCCTTTCTTACCAGAGTAAAGCTTTCCCAGAATATTATCAGTTGACTCATAAGAGAAGTTGGCTAAAATGACTGGAACCCAGCCTAGCCAAGGCAAAGTTTGGCTTTCTGTTGGTCCTTACAGGGGTTGAATGAATGGTGATTATTTTCTTTCCCTTTCAGATGTTCTGAAAGAAAGGTAGTGGGAATGAGTCTACATTCTGATAGTGGGAATAATAACAACAAAGTGAAAGTGAGTTTATAGTGTCAAGTGCTTTGACACTGCCAAACAGTATTGCGGCTTTACTGACCATCTGTGTTTTGATTTTTTGCCTGTGCTTTAGCTTGAGGTATCACCTGCCTTCCAGGGAAGTTGTTTTGCTGCAGCGCTTGATAAAGAGCAGGGTCGCTGCTAGGTTTTCTGTGTTGAAGGAGAAGTTATACAAGTTACAGCAGGTGGGGAGAGTGTTTACCAGTGTGGTCTGCTTCAGGACAGCTGCGGAGTCTGCACTACTGAGAAAGGTAGTGTCATCTCTGGAGACAGAAGGCACACACCCCAGTTTTCCCAGGGCACGGAGCCTGGGCCCAAAGTATACCAGGAATGTGGCTGCTTGGATAGTGTGGAACTGCTCTTCATGCTTTGGGGTAACTCACTACAGACTGGATAAGTAGGATACATTTGTATAAGCACAGCACAGAACTTGATTTTGTTAGAAGCCATATTACCTCACTGACTGTGAGTTTTATCATATATAAAGAATAGCATTGTGTAGTAAAATGAGGCCTAAGCGTAGAGTGCTAGCTGGCACAGTGTTCAGCAGTAGGCACTCAACAGATTGTCATAAAGCAGAAGTTTTGCTTGGCTTCTCCTCTAGTCAGTTTGTATATGGCAAGAGTGGTGATGGCTGCTGCCTGAAGACAGTAGAGGGGAACACACACACACACACACACACACACACACACGGCTTAGTTTCTTTCACCTGTCCTGAATGTTTTCACAAACGTGACAGCAGGACCTGTGGGCTTAGGGCCTGCACTTGCTGCTTAAGAGCTTTCTGATTCTCAGGAACACAAACTGCTAAGGTTTACTGACCTTCCGGCCCAGGGCAAGCCCCGCTCGGTTATGTTCTTCCTAACTGATCATAGCTTTGTTGAGTAAGATGAACTGCTTTGGTTCTTTGTGATTTGTTAATGGTCTTATACTTGTGCTTGGAGGCATTTGGGGCACTTTAAAACCACAAACAAATAATTTGCTTCCCTTTAGGCCTCTTGTCCAAACAGTGAACACTAATAGGTACCCTGAGTTGTTTTTTTTTTTTAAAGGGACACAAAGATAGTTTGAGTCAGTCATCTGATTAAAAATCAGTTTGAAGGATTTATGAAGCCTGGAGGGAATAGAAATAACTTGAATAAAATAATACAAATCAAGGCATTGTTTCCTACAGCAATATTTTAAAGTTTTCCCCAAAGAGTAAGGAGAAAAGCTAACTTAGATCAGTGTACAGGAACAAAACTGGAATTCAGCTCTGCTGATGCATAATGCAGGCTGCCTGCCAGAGGCACACTGTGTGATGGGGTGTGTGTGTGTGTGTGTGTGTGTGTGTGTGTGTGTGTGTGTACTCTCTGTAGATTCTCATACTGAAAATGAATAAGAACAAAAAAAATTATCTATGCATATAAACCTATTTAAAACAATGCTTTTGCTATTCCTGTGTAAAGAAGGCTTCCTTGACCCCTGCCTTCCCTACTTAAGTGCTACATACAGTATTTTCAAACAGGAATTTCATTTTACACATACTGTGAGCAGCACCTGGGTGCTCCCTTCTTTTGCCTGTATTAGATTTGCCTAGAATGAACAGTAGGTGTATCCGGAGTGAGGCTGAGAAGGTGTTTGCCCTGGCATGCACACTCATTCTTCCACGGTCCTGAGGGCTGGGAGCTCTTTGAGGCTGGGGACAGGGTATCTATTTCAGTGATGACTAACATCCAGAGTGGGGAGATGGACACAGATAAGCAGGCTGTGTGTTTATTTTAAAATGATTGCACCTAAGAACTCTTTTTTTTTTTCTCCTCAGCATGAAGTTTCCTTTCCTAACTGAATGGAGAGGACATTGCTGACTGGTTACATTTAAGGCCTAAACTGTGATTTTCAGAAAACAGCAACTCAAAGTAGCTTAGGATTTCTGCTTCCCTTTTTGCATTACCTAGGGAGGAGAGGCACTTACTTGCTCTAATTTATTGAAAGCTTCCATCCATGGATGTATTCTCTTCGGTCGTTTTGGAAAGGTCTTATTTTTAATGGCTCTATGAGTTAATAAAAGGGTTCATTTTACATGCTCAAAATAATACACCTGTGGAAACAGGAAATGTTCTAGTGCGGTCACTACCTTCAGTGCAGCCTGTGGGAATGGAGAGCCTTCTCGAGAGCAGGGGCTGCTTGTCCATTTGAATGGTCAGAGCTGAAGTTCTTGACTCACAGGGCAGAGACTCAGCGTCTTTAGGAATTCCTGTGGTGTCTGTGGAATATCTCATTACTCCAAACCTGCAGTTTTTTTGTTTTTAGAACCTTCACCTTAGGTAAAGGTTGTGCTTGAGCTGCTGAAATCCAGTTGGCAGTGAGGTTCCTGAGTAAGTATACAGATTCCTTTTCAAATTATTGAGAGTTTGACATAGAAAAGACTAACTTTGGTGTGACAACCTTAATTCTGGGTTGATTCTGGCATTGGATTACTCTGGTCCTGACTCCTAAGCATGTGACGAGAAATTCAGGTATACTCTTTTCTGAGGCCAGCTTCTTAAAAACTTTGAAAATTAAGATGAGAAAAATAGAAAATTGGGTTTTGAATTTTCATTAAATTAAC